GCGCCCGCGGGCCCCACCTGCGGGATCGGACGTTTTCTGGGTACGCGCGGGGTACGCGCAAGGGTCGGGATTTGTGGGGAGGGGTGTGGGGAGGGGCGGGGCGCACCTGGTCGGCCATTTCGGCCTGCCGCTTTTCTTCTTCTTCAAGCAGACCACAACATGGCTCTCTCTAAAAAGAAAGGCTCAGGAGGTGCGCAGGGAGCTGGGGGAGGCGCGCGCGATGTACCCGACGAGTGTTCGTGCAGGCGTCGTCACACCGACGGGTTGAGAGATCGCAAACGGATTGCTCTGAGCCCTGAACTCCTCTTGATTCAAAGCGCAAAAACAACAGCTCAAACTGCCGATGTTTGAGCAGCATGACTGCCTGTCGCATCGAGAAACTTCATCTCGTAGTATGCGCCTCGTCGGCGTCGTCGCCGCCGTCGCGAGGGCGCAGCAGCAGCTCACGGCGGCTCCGCGGTCGCCGCCGTCGGGCGTCGGGCATGGGGCGTCGCGGCGCCGACGTCACGACATGGTCGCGGTCGCGCCGCCCGTCGTCGCGAAAGCACAGCGGCGGCGGCGCGATCGTGCGCCGCCGCGGGGCGCGGACGCGGATCATGCCCGCCTCCTCGGCCTCGGCGGCCGATGTCCCGCGACCGCTGCCCCATGAGGCTGCGGGCTGCCATCCCCCTTCCCGCCCGAGGGACAGGCTTGGACTGGAGGCGGGACGACACTCGCGTGATGCCCATCCCGACCCAGAAGAACGAGGACTCGGCGCGGGGCGACGGGGTCGTCATCGGCAGCTGCCGCCGTCACAGGTCGTTGCGATTCGGCCAAGTCCTCGCCCCGGTCCCCAACATGTGCTCAACATCAAGAATCCTTTCGTTGAGCCCATCCCAGGGCTGCCCCCCGATGGACTTTATAAACACGCTCGTGTGCGCCACCGCGGCGCCGGCCCCGGTCGACGAGGGCTGGTACGTCGTCGACGCCCGCGCGCCGGTCGTCGCGCGGCCCGGCGGCGACCCGACGGGCGTGTTTCTCGCCGCCCGCGAGCGCGTCTTCGTCGTCGAGTCCGAGGTCGCCGGCGCCGGCGCCTACGCGCGCCTCTTCCGGGGCGGCTGGGTCGACGCGTCGGGCCTGCGGGCCGCGCCCGCGCCGGGGTCGTCGTCGTCGGCCAAGGGGCGGCCCAACGCCGAGGCCTTCGCGACGGATTTAGACGACGAGGTGTCGCCGGACATGGCGGCGCTCGTGCGGACGTGCATCGGCTCGCCCCCGGGCTTCCTCGACGGCTACGACGGGCCGTCGGGCGCCGGCTGGTACGCCACGCGCGAGGCGACGCCGGTCCTCGCGTCGTTCCTCGACGAGGCGCCGGCGACGGGCGCGATCGAGCCCGGCGACCGCGTCTTCGTCGTCCTCGCCAAGGAGGTCGCCTGGCCGCTGCGCGCGGCTCCGGGGGCGGCGGGCGCGACCAGGGCGCGCCGGCGCGCCTCGACGACGACCCGCCGGAGGCGCGCGCGTGGCCCGAGGGCGTGGCGACGCCGCGCTGCTCGCTCGAGGACGACGCGTCGGCCGCGGGCTGGTTCGCCGACGACCGACGCTCCGTCTTCGTCGCCGAGCGCCTCGACGGCGCACGTGGTAAGGCCCCCTATTTGCAGCTATCAGTCTAGGATGCCGTTTTGGCTCGAGGTGTTGGGCTATATAATTCTCTCGCGCGCCGCGGCTGCGTGCGGCCGCGCAAACCTCGGCGCGCGTCGCGCTCCACGCGGCGTAGTCTTCAACTTCGCTCGACCACTCGCCTCCTCTCGATCTGAGCTGAGGCGAGGCGCCACTCTCAGCCGCGAGTCGTGTGCAGCGCGTCGCAGCCGTGCAGCGCGTCCGCTGGCGCTCGCGTCGCTGCCTACATCGCGTCGCCGGCTGCGCGCGCCTCCGCCGCGCCCGCGGCCGCCGCGGCCATACCATGGCGACGGCGCTCAAGGAGATGATGGGCAAGCAGATCTCCGTGATCACCTGCGACGGCCGCAACATCGTCGGCCAGCTCCGCGGCTACGACCAGGTGCGCGCGACGCGCCGCACCGCGCGAGGAACGCCCGGCGCGACCGCGGCGCGCGCGCCGCAGGTGACGAACGTCATCCTCGACGAGTGCCACGAGCGCGTCTTCTCCCTCGACGCCGGCGTCGAGCAGGTGGTCCTCGGCCTCTACATCATCCGAGGCGCGCCGCGCCGCGCCCGCATACGCCGCCGTCGGACGCGCGCGCGTCGCTCGATCGCGCGCGGGACCGCGGCGACGCCGCGCAGGCGACAACATCGCCGTCATCGGCGAGGTCGACATCGAGCTCGACGCGCAGACGGACTTCTCGGAGCTGCGCGCCGACGCGCTGAAGCCCGTGACGCACACCTAGGAGGGGCCGGCCCGCCCCGCGCCGCGCGCGCCGCCCCTGTGATGTTGTTTCGTCCGTAGTACGTACTCGGCTTACGGCGCGTCGTGTCGTCCGTGCGCGCCTTACGAACGGTCCCCGCGTGGCGCCGCCTACTTCGTGCCGTGTTTGCGCGCGGCGTCGACGAACGCGGCGACGTTGGCCTCGGGCGTGGGCTGGAGGACGCCGTGGCCGAGGTTGAGGATGTGCTTGCCCGGGCCGCCGGCGCCGTCGATGCACTTCTTGACGGCGTCGTCGATGTCGGCGACGGAGCCGAGGAGGAGCGACGGGTCGACGTTGCCCTGCACGGGCACGGACGGCCCGAGCTGCGCGCGCGCGTCGGCCATGTCGACGGCCCAGTCGAGGCTCAGGGCGCTGTAGTGGGCGTCGCCGGCCATGTCGCGCTGGAGGCCGAGGTAGGACGAGCCGCCGTTGGCGAAGAAGAGCACGGGCACGCCCGGGTGGGCCTCGCGGACGGCCGCCGCGACGCGGAGCGCGTAGGGCTTGGAGAAGGCGGCAAAGTCCGCCGGGTTGAGCTGGTGGGCCCAGGACTCGAAGACCTGGACCATCTGGGCGCCCTCGTCGATCTGGTGGATCGCGTACGCCGCGACGGCGTCGGCCATCGCGTCGAGCGCCGCGTGCGCCAAGGCCGGCTCGTCGTGCATCAAAGCCTTGATCTTGAGCGCGTGGCGGCTCGCGCCGCCCTCCGTCGCGTAGGCGCACAGCGTCCAGGGCGCGCCGACGAAGCCCACGAGCGACGTCTTGCCCTCCGTCTCCTTCCGCAAATTACGGAGCGTCTCGCCGACGAACGGCAGCTGCGCGCCCGGGTCGAAGCCGCCGCAGGCCTCGACGAAGGCCGCGATGCGCTTGGCGTCGCCGAGCGTGTCCGTGATGAGGGGGCCCTTGCCCTTGACGACGTCGAAGTCGACGCCGAGCGCGGGCAGCGGCGTGAGGATGTCCGAGAACATGATGACGCCGTCGACGCCGAAGGCGCGCCAGCACTGGAGGCTCAGCTCCGTGGCGATGTCCGGCGACTCGCTGCGCTCCCGGAAGGGGATCTTGTCGCTGTACTTGCGGAAGTCCGCCATGTAGCGGCCCGCCTGCCGCATGAGCCACACCGGCGTGCGCTCCACGTCCTCGCCGCGCGCCGCGCGCACGAGGAGGTCCGCATCGCCGGCCGACGCGACGACGGGCTTCGCGGGCGTCGGTTTCGTCGTGACGGAGAGCGCCGATGCGGTCGGCAACGCGCAGGCGAAGAGTAAGGCTGCGATCATGCTCATCTCTGCTCGCCTGCAAGCTCAATCACGGATGCGATATCAACATGCCGACCGGGCTGTGAGACCTGCGGCGCACGCCTCGGCCGACGCGCTACGGATCGCCGGGATCTCGCGAGCGGCGCACACGCCTCGGCCGACGCGCTACGGATCGCCTGGATCGTTCCGGACATCGACCACAGACTCGATAGCGTGGAGTTGAAGGCGGTCGTTGTCGGTCCACACTGCTCCCACTCCTCCTCCGCATAATTTGTTCTAGTTGAAGTAGCAGATGTCGCGCTGGAGAAAGCGGCACAGTGCCCCGATCAACGTACATCTAGGTGCACCCGTACGAAATATTAATAAAGATCAATCATCGAATTCCGGCCGGCGGAGCCAGAGTCATTAGTCGTCCATAGAGGCTGTACGTCGACCGCGCGCGCGGGCGCGGTGTCGCGGCGGTCCGCGGGCTGAAATCACGGCCAAAATTGGGTTATGGTCGTATCAAAGCAAGTTTGATGATATTCGCGCGTTAATTGCACGTTTGCGATGGCTTTTTGCGCGCGGTCGCTGGTTCGGGTCGCGAAATCGCAAGATTTAACTTCAACAAAAGTGCTGGAGTTCAACAAAAATGTTGACTTTTAAATCCAGGCTATCAGAATCTGAGTTTTGATCGGTGCACTGAAGCGGCAGCGTGATGCAGGGCGATTCGCGACTCGCCTCCATCACGCGCTTGAAGCCGCCCTGCGGGCCCTATGAAATTGGTGTAGCCCTTGATGGTCCCCCTGCAGACGATCCAGGTCACCCAGGACGCGTTCAGCCACTTCACCCGACCCACCCGAACGACCGGCACTACTACGTCCAGTCGTACGACACAGCAGTCCGCGAGATCGCGTTCTACTACGCGCGTGCGAGGGTGGCCGACCTCGCGCGCGCGTCCCGACCTAGGCTACGGTCTTCTGCCGCCGAGGCCGGGCGCGGCCGACGGCGCGGGCCGCGTCGCAGGGCCACGTTGGGGCCAAGCAGGAGAAGAGCAGCGGTCCGGCCGGAGGCCTGGTCGGCGCGGCGCGCGCGATGAAGGCGCCGTAGGCCGACGGTGCACGGTTGTTGGCTTCGTCACTCGAGCACCTCGCGCGAGCGCGACGGGTCCGTCTGCACTCGCGCTCGCATTCTGCGCGGAGGCGCGTTTCCACGACTCCCGATCGGCACCCCGCTGTCTCGACGACCCACACAGCCCAGCGGACCAGCGGGGGCCGACGCGCACGCCGTCGAAACGCGCGCCCGCCTTTTTTTCGACGCCCGCGTTCGCCAAGCGTCTTAAATACGAAAATGTCGGACGACAGCGACCAAGAGTACGTCTACAGCGAGGATGAGGACGACTACAACGACGACGAGGACGCGGAGATGTCCGACGCCGACGCCCCCGCGGCCCCGCGGGCGCGGAAGTCCGGGAGCACGGGGTCGAAGGACGACGGCGCGCCGTCGCGGCTCGGCGACGGCGCGTACGCGCTCATGGAGCCGGCGGACGTCGAGCGCATGTTGGTCGCCAAGGCCCGGGAGGTGTCGGAGACGCTGGACGCGCGCCCCGGCGCCCCCCGCACCCCCCCCCCATTTTTTTCCAACCGCCGCCCCTTCCCGCAGGTCCCGCCCGAGTCCGCCGAGGTGCTCCTGCGGCACGTGGGCTGGTCGGCGGAGCGGCTCATGGAGGCGTTTTGGAGCGACGGCGAGCGCCTGACGGGCGCCGCGGGCGTGGACACGTGGGCCGCGGACGGCGGCGACGCGGCGGCCGCCGCCGTCGCGCTGCCGAGCGCCGAGGGCACGGTCACGTGCCGCATCTGCTTCGACGACGTGCCCGCGTCGAGCGGCCGGAGCGCCCCCTGCGGCCACTTCTTCTGCGAGGACTGCTACGGCGGCTACCTCGCCAACGCCGTCGACGAGGGCGCGAGCTGCGTCATGGCGACGTGCCCGGAGCGGGGCTGCGCGACGCGTGTGCCCGGCGCGCTCTTCGCGGCGCTCGTGGACGCGAAGCGCGTCGACCGGCGCCGGTCCTTCCGGCTGGAGAACTTCGTGTCCTTCTCCAAGGACCTGCGCTGGTGCCCGGGCAAGGGCTGCGGCCGCGTCGCGCGCGCGGGCGCGGGCGTCGGCAGTGTCAAGTGCGCGCCGAACGGCTGCGGCTGCAACTTCTGCATGCGCTGCGGCGAGGAGGCCCACAGCCCCGCGTCCTGCGGCCTCATCGCCCAGTGGACGGAGAAGTGCCAGAACGAGTCGGAGACCGCGAACTGGATCCTCGCGAACACGAAGCGGTGCCCAAAGTGCCAGACGCGCATCGAGAAGAACCAGGGCTGCAACCACATGAACTGCTCCCAGTGCAAGTACGAGTTCTGCTGGATGTGCATGGGCGACTGGGCGGACCACGGCGCGACGACGGGCGGCTTCTACAAGTGCAACAAGTACGACCCCCTCAAGGCCGAGGCCGACGACGGCGCCATGGACGACCAGGCGCGCGCGAAGCGCGAGCTCGACCGCTACCTCCACTACTACAAGCGCTTCCACGGCCACGACCAGTCCCAGGCCTTCGCGACGAAGCAGCTCGAGTCGACGGAGAAGCGCATGGTCGAGCTCCAGGAGTCGACGCACGGCTCGTGGATCGACGTCCAGTTCCTCAAGACGGCCAACGAGATGGTCATCGACTGCCGCCGCGTGTTGAAGAACACCTACGTCTTCGGCTACTACCTCCCGACGCCCGCGAAGCGCCAGCGCGAGCTCTTCGAGAACCTCCAGGAGCACCTCGAGCGCTTCACGGAGACGCTCTCCGAGATGACGGAGCTGCCCCTCGACCAGATGGACCGCTCCGAGATCGTCAACGTCACGCGCGTCACCGAGTCCTTCCTCGCGAACCTCATCCAGGGCGCGGAGGCCGGCCTCGACGTCCCGGACGACGACGCCGCGCCCGCCGCGGCCGCGGCGGCCTGACGCGCCCCCGCCCCTTCGTCGCTCGTCCTGCCCCTTTCCCCCGCGCCGCGCCGGGCGCCAATACGTACAGAGATACGACCCGAGGACGTCTCCTCATCGGGCGGCGGCGTCGTCGACGGCTGCCGCGGACGACGGCCCTGTCGGCGGCGTGTGGGCAGCAGCCGCATCGAGAGCCTCGAGCTCACGAGCAACCTCGAGGCCGCCTCTGGCATCGTCGGGCGCGCGGCGACCACCCCGCGCGGCGTCGCTCGAGACGCATGGCGTCGTCGCCGGAGAGCCCGCGGCGCGAGCCGGGCCTCGTCGACGCCCTGTGCCTGCCGCCGAACTCCTGCGCCGGGTGGATCGGCCCCGTGCTGTTCTGCATCAGCATCGCGGACGCGCTCGTGCTGGAGCGGACGAGTAAGCCCTGGCGGTCCTGGCTCCTCCAGGCCGAGGACGTCTGGGAGCAGCTCGCGAGCGCGAGCGGCGTCGCGATCGCGTGCCGGGGCCCCTTGGCGCGCTACTTCACGATCGCTTCCTGGCGCCGCGTCTGCGTCGAGTGCCTCGGCGAGCTGAGCCGCGAGCTCCGGGGCGAGGCGCCGCCGCTCGGCGACGGCGCGCTGGCGCCGGGGGACCTCGTGGCGCTCGCGGACGGCGCCGTCGGCGAGGTCCTGGGCGACGCGCCGGGTTTGAGGGACGGCGAGCGCGTCTACAGCGTGCGCGTGGGCGCGCACCGGACGAACCAGACGGCCGTGCGCCGGGACCGGTGCACGCCCCTGCGGCGCCACGGCGAGCAGTGGTGGCGCGCGGCCGCGGCGCTCGACGTCGAGGACGCGGCGGCGCGCGACTTCGTCGCCGGCGTCGCCGGGCGCCACTGGCGCGGCGAGCCCGGCGGCGTCTTCACCTTCGGCGCCGCGCGGGCGACGCCCATCCACTACCGGCGCACGGGCGGCCGCTGGGTCTGGTCGCCGGACCGCGTGAACTGGATGGCCTGCACCGAGGTCGCGCCGCAGGGCGCGCGGTGGCGCGCGCAGTCGCTCGTCGAGGCGAACCGCCAGATCGCCCGCTTCCTCGAGGCGCGCGACCCCACGCCCCGGCCCTGGAACCTCGAGCCGACCGTCGCCGAGCTGAGCCTGGCGCCCCGCGCGCGGCCGCCGGACCGCCGCGCGGACGACGTCGCCGCCGCGCGCTCCGCCGCGCGCGCGGCGTCGCCCGACGCCCACGGCGGCATCCTCGGCCTCGCCAACACGCACGTCCACGTCGTCCACGACGCCTTCGCGCCCCCGGCCCACATCCTCCACGTCGACCCGGCGACGATCCAGAACCACGCCGGCGGCTGGCTCCACAGCCACGACGGCGGCGCGACGTGGCGCGACGGCCTCGGCCCCGCGGCGGCCAACGTCCGGAGTCGCGACCTCGACGAGGAGGAGGGGCACTAGGCCTCTTGCCGTGTTGTTTTACGGGGGGGCTCGTCCGTCGCGCGCCAGGACGCTCCAGAGGGCGCCGTCGGGCACGCGCGGCGCGAGGCGCCGGTCGACGAGCGTCGGCGCGGCCGGAGTGGAGCAGGCGCGGTTGCTCCAAGCGTCCCAAACGACGTCAACGTGCGAGGATACGTCCGCACGGTGCCGTGCTCTCCGATAGCGCCGGGCACGATGGGCGGCGGTGCATCCACTGCAAAAGCCCCCGAGCCGCCCAAGGAGACCAACAGCCCGCGCGTGACTTTCTCCAACGCCGCGCTGCAGCGGCGGAGGGCGCGCAAGAAGCAGCGGCAGAAGGCCTACGAGTATGCCCTGGTGCAACACTTCGACGCGACGAAGACGGGCGCCCTGAACCGGGAGGAGGTCAAGGCGCTGACGGGCCACATCCTCAAGTCCACGGCGGGCGACGCGGCCGTCGTCGTCTCCGACGAGGACATCGACGAGATCATGAAGATCGGCGGCAGCAACTGCAAGGCGGAGATCACGCTGCGCGACATCCCGATGGCGCTCTCGGTCATCGAGGCCATCAACGAGAAGAACGCCGAGGTCGGCGAGCTCTTCAAGAAGTACGACACCGACGCGTCCGGCGCGTTGCCCTACGCGCAGCTCAAGCCCCTCCTCGCGGAGATCAACGAGGGCGAGGAGCCCACGGAGGCGGACCTCCAGTACGTCCTCAAGCAGGCCGAGGCGGGCGCGGAGGTCGGCATCGGGAAGACGGAGATCAAGAGCGCCATCGCCTGCTGGTACTGCCTCTGCGACGAGGGCCGCGACGAGGTCTGAGGCGCGGCGAGCGGGGGGCCGCGTGTTCTAAGGTCGACGCTCCCGAGATCGCGACGGGCGTCCGAGGCTCCCGCACCGGGCGGGGCTGGGCCTCCCGCGCGACGACACACGCGCCGAACACAACAACAACAGGTTACCTCGCGCGCGGCGCGGCTCGGGCTAGAAGTCGACGTTGCCCGTGATGGACGGGAGGGACTGGACCCCCAGCGGGATGGACGCGACGGAGTCCATGGACGGCGTCCGGAGCGAGTTGAAGATGGACGCGTTGGGCCCCGTCGTGAACGTGCCGTCCTGCGCGGACAGGAGCAGCAGCGCGCTCTGCTTCATGTTCTTTCGGTGCTCCTGGTGCATGAGGAAGTCCTTCTGGAGGTTGGACCGGCTGTGGGCCTCGTGGGCCTTGGCCGCGCGCACCTTCGCCCGGCACTTGCGCACGTTGTCGAACGCGAGGCGCTCGAGCTCGTGCATCTTCGCCATGCGGTTGCTGTGGTAGACGCGGACCATGTGGCCGCTGTAGGTCGGCCCGCAGTCGAGCTTGTGCTTGGCGTTGTGGATCTGGTGGTACGTGTTCATGTTCAGCGACGCGATGCGCCGCTTGTTGTCGGCCTTGAGCTGCTTCTTCTTCGACTGGTCGACGATGTGCTTCCAGACCGTCGGCGTGCTGTGGTCGATGTGGTAGTCGCTGTGCGGCTTGCGCTGCTTGATGGTCTTCAGGGCCTTCTTCTGGTCCCGGTGCTGCCGCTGGAGGTCCCACTTCTTGGATAGGACCGACATGGCCGCCGCGGCCCCGCGGGCGCTGATGGGCTGCCCCTCGAGGAGAGCGGCGCCAACATGAAACCTCGTATCTGGGCGTATCTCGCGCGGCGCGCCCCCGCGCCGCTACAAGTGAAGCTACCTCTTACCGCGGGCGAGGAGGTCCGCGAGGCGCCGGACGCCGCTGGCGTTGGGGTCGCTCGCCGTCGCCTGGGCGAGGTGGGCCTTGGCGGCCTTGGCGTCGCCGTCGAAGAGGCGGACCTCGCCGAGGGCCGCGTGGGCCGTCGCGGACCGCGGGTCCAGGGCGAGGGCGCGGCTCAGGAGCGCCTCGCCCTCCTTGACGGCGCCCGGGTCGCCCGCGGCGAGGGCCCGCTGGGCGAGGAAGCGGCCGAGGTCCGCGATGGCGAGCGCGTCGTTCGGCGCGGCCGCGACGGCGCGCCGGTAGAGCGCGCCCGCGCGGTCCGGGTCCTGGAGCTTCTCCTCGCAGAGCACGGCGAGGTTGTAGAGCGCGTAGGCGTGCGTCGGCTTGGCGTCGATGGCGCGCTCGTAGAGCGCCGCGGCCGCGGGCACGTCCTTGAGCGCCGCGTCGAGCATGACCGCGTAGTTGTAGCAGGAGTTGGCGTGCGTCGGGTCCACGGCGAGGGCCTTCTCGTAGACCTTGCGCGCCCGGTCGTAGTCGCGCTGCACCTCCGACAGGTAGAGGCCGTAGTTCGACATCGTGTTGACGGCCGTCGGGTCGCGCTTCACGGCCTTCCGGTAGAAGTCCTCGCAGCGCGGGTCCTCGGGGCGGATGGCGTGGAGGAGCACGCCGTAGGCGCCGAGGGCCTCCGGCGACTCGCCGTCCGCGGCGAGCGCGCGCTCGAGCATGGCCTCGGCGCGGTCCGGCGCGCGGCGGCCGTGGCGGAGGAAGTTCGCGTACTTGACCATGACGTTGATGAGCGGCGGCTCGATCTCCAGGGCGCGCTCGTAGGCCGCCTCGATGTCCTCGAGGGGCCTCCGCGCGACCTGGAGGTAGAGCGGGTGGTTGCCGACGCAGAGCGGGCAGTCGGCGCGCGCGCGCAGGCCGGCCTCGTAGAGCTCGCCGGCTTTGGGCACGTTGCCCTGCTGCTCGCAGAGCGACGCGTAGGACCCGCAGTAGTGGGCGTAGGCCCGGGCGAGGTGGGCCGGCGTCTCCGGCGGCGCCGCGCAGCTCGACAGCGCCCGCTCGAAGGCCTGGGCCGCGTCCATGCCGTTGCCCCCGCGGCCCATGAGGCACTCGCCCAGGGCGCCGAAGGAGAAGAGGTCCGGCGTCTCCTCGGCGGCCGCCTGGAGCCGCGCGACGACGGCGTCCGCCGAGTCCCCGTCGTCGGGCATCGCAGCCGCGTGATGGGCTGCCAAACGGAAACGGTTCAACAACAGGGGCATGATGCCGCGCTAATTGGGCAGCCTAAAGCCTCGCTCGCGCTCGAGCTGCAGAAAAGCTCGTCAGTCGCCATGTGCACCCGCGCGCTGCTCGCATCGCTCGCCGTGGCCGCCGCGACGCGCCAGACCCTGCCGCTGGCGGGCTACGACGTCGTGGCCTACTTCTCCCTGGATCCGGCGAGCGAGGGCGTCCTGGGCAGCGCCGACTTTGCGCTCAACTACACGCGCGAGGACAAGCCGACGGGCCAGACGTGGACCTACGAGCTGCGCTTCGCCAACGCGTCGAACCGCGCCATGTTCGCCGAGGCGCCGGAGAAATACCTCCCGGCCTACGGCGGCTTCTGCACCTGGGGCATGTCGAAGGAGTGGGGCCCCGCGTGGCCCTGGGCGCGCGACTACCTCGGCGCGCCCGGCGGCGCGCGCGACGGCTGGTTCATCGTCGACGGGGTCCTGTACCTCACCTTCTTCCGCTTCATGACGCCGGACCTGCTCGCGAATTTCTCGGACGTGAAATCCGTCGCCGACGAGCGGTGGGCGGGCTGGTTCGGCGGGGCGAGTTACGGCCCGCTGAACTACGGCTGCGACGCGGACACGTGGTGGGGCGACACCTGCACGTGGACGCCGCAGTACAACGAGGGCATCGCGAACGCCGCGCGGCCGTTGAGCGACGCGTGCATCGCCGTCATCGACACCTACTGCTTCGACCACCAGCAGGGCGAGAACGGGAGCACGACCATCGACGGCATGAAGCCCTGCCGCGAGTGCCTCGAGACCCACGGCCTGGCCATCCTCGAGCACGCCGAGTGCAAAGAGTACCGCGAGACCGCCAGCCTCAACGAGACGGCCGTGAACATCTACTGCATGTAGGCCTAGGTAACGTGGGTCTTTTCGGTGTAGTCGATCTAACGTGAGTCTTTTCGGCGGGTGCGTTCGTTGCTCAGACGGTGGAGAGGAGGCCGCAGCCCACGCGCGTGCCGGCCTCGTTGTGGATGACGAACGCGCGGCCCTCGACGGGGTAGTCGCCGTCCAGCGTGAAGCCGCCGGCGACGTCGAAGGTCGCGGCGCCGGCGGTCGTCGAGTCGTAGGCGTCGTAGGTCGTCGTCCAGGGGTCCGAGCTCATGCCTTCGTAGTAGTGGCCGCCGACGGCGTCCGCGTCGGCGCACGTCTCGCCGCTGTGCACGTGCGCGCCGCCCGCGGCGGGACCGAGGGGCCCGTCGGCGATGGCGACGGACACGGCGATGTCGTCGCCGGCCTGGGCGACCATGACGTGGCCCGAGATGACGGCGAGGAGGCCGCAGGCGATCCGCGTGCCGTCCTCGGCGTGGACGACGACGGCGCGGCCCGCGACGGGGTAGGCGCCGGAGATCGTGAAGCTGTCGAGCGCGAGGGACACGGACGCGTCCCCCGAGGCGTCGCTGTCGTAGTTCGTCGTCCACGGATCCGCGTCCATGCCCTCGTAGTAGTGGCCCCCGACGTCGTCGGCGCTCGCGCAGGTCGTGCCGGAGTGGATGTGGAAGCCGCCCGTCGCCGAGGCCTCGAGCCCGCCGAGCGTGCCCGTGAGCTCGATGCCCGCGTCCGTCTGCATGACCATCACGGACCCCGTCACGGCGAGGTCGCCGTCGTAGCCCGGGTAGGGCCCCAGCGTCGCGCTCTGCATCATCGCGTAGCCCGGGTACGGCCCTATGGAGGCGTAGACCGCGTCCTCCAGGACGCCGCAGCCGATGCGCGTGCCGTCTGCGGCGTGGATCACCACGGCGCGGCCCGCGACGGGGTAGGCGCCGTGCAGGGTGAAGTCGTCGAGCGAGAGGCTTGTCTGCGACACGCCCACGGAGTCGCTCTCGTAGTTCGTCGTCCACGGATCCGTCGCCATGCCCTCGTAGTAGTGACCCCCGACGTCGTCGGCGCTCGCGCAGGTCGTGCCGCTGTGGATGTGGTAGCCGCCGGTGACGGACGCCTCGAGGCCCGTCAGCGTGCCCATCATCGTGATGCCGTCGTCGTCCGTCTCGGAGACGACGACGACGCCCGAGACCGCGATGTCGCCGGTGTAACCCGGATAGGCGCCGATGGAAGCGACCTGGTACGTCGAGAGCGCGTCGTCCCGGCTGCTGCCGTGGCCCTCGTCGTACTGCTTGACGACGGCAGCGATGGAGCCCACCAGGGCAGCTACTACGACAAAGGCGATGAGGAAGCCCCGCAGGCTCGGGCCAGTCTCGGGTTTCTTTCGCATCGTCGCGCCGCCGCCTTCCACATCCAGGTTCTTCATGCTGGCTGCACACGGATGGTGGCTGGATCGCGGCCACACAGAGCGACTCGGAACTCGAACGCTCCGAGCGCGCTTCAGTTTCGCAACGTGAAGCAAACGAGAGCTCGTTGAACTACAAGTAGAGAACAAACAAGGATCACTTACGGCGCGCAGATGTCGGTCAGCGCCGACCGGCCGAGCCAGAGCAGCCCCGGGTCGTTGCGCTTGAGCACGAGGACGTCGCCGTCGTCGCCGGACGTCTCCCGCTCGAAGCCGCAGGCCTCGAGGAACGCGAGCCCCGCGGGGAACTTGCCCACGGTGCGCAGGAAGCGCTTGTTCGCGAGCTTGACGCGCTTGAACTTGGCGTCGTCGCGCTCCGCGTTGCTCAGGATGACCTGGAGCGTCGTCGCCGCCTCGGCGGCCGCCGCCGCGCCGACGCGCTTGAGGGACGCGGACGCGGAGAGGATGCGCGCCTGGCGGCTGCCCGCGTCCGCGGGCGCCGGCGGGGCGCCCGTGAGCAGCGCCTCGAGCGCGACCGTCGCGTCGCCGCCGGCCGCCGCGAGCGCGGTCTCGGCCGCGCCGCGGCCGAAGCCCATGGCCTCGAGCGACAGGACCTCCGGGGACGGCGCGGCGGGGGCCGCCGCCGGCGCGTCCTCCATGGGCGTGTCCGCCGCGTCGTCCTCCGGCGCCGGCGCGTCGTCGGCCAGGGGCGGCGCGTCGTCCGCCGCCGGCGCCGGCGCGTCGTCGGCCAGGGGCGGCGCGTCGGTCATGGGCGCGTCGCCGTCCGCCGCCGCCGCCGCGCCGTCCGAATTCACCGCCGCGCCGTCAGCCGCCGCGCCGTCCGCCGCCGCGCCGGCCGCGCAGTCCTCGCAGTCGCACTCGCCGTGCGCGAACGCGCCGACGGCGTCCATGCTCCGGTCCGGCTTCGGCTTCGGCGCGGGCGGCGGCGCGGCGCTCGCGCCCAGGCGCCGCTCGGCCGCGGCGGCCGCCGCCGCGCGCGCGTCCGCGGGCGGCGCGGGCGCGGGCGCGGGCGCGGCCGCCGCGGGCGCGGGCGGCGCGTTCGCGACGGCGTGCGCGATCATGGCCGCGGACATGCGCTCGCCGGCGTTGATGGCGCCGTTGCCCGCCTCGCGGCGGAGCTCCGCGGCGACGACGTCCTCGACGGGCGCCTTGGACGGGTCCGACAGGTCGGCGAGCGACGCGGCCTTGGGCCGCGCGGGCGCCGCGCCGCGCCGGAGGTCCAGGTACTCCGTGCGGAGCTGCGCGTAGAGGGCGAAGAAGGCCGCGTTGTGGGGGCCGACGACGTTGTGGCAGAGCTCGTGGAGGAGCGTCTTCGCCAGGTCGTCGCGTTCCCGGAACGCGCCGTCCGGCAGGCGGAGCCGCACGTAGATGCGCGCGCCGCCGTTCTCGTTGTAGCCCAGGAGGCAGCCGCCCTCCTGCTCCTTCTGCTTGAGCAGGCGGTCGTCGCGCGGGTCCATCTCGAGCAAACCCCCCACGACCCACTCGTGGCGGACCATGATCGGGCTCACCTCCGCGGCGAGCGACCGCAGCAGTTTTTCCGCGTCGTAGTGGTGCGGCGCGCCGTCCGTGCCGTCGAAGCGGTCGCAGGCCTTGAAGCGGCAGAACTTGAACTCCGCGTCCTGCGCGGGGCCGCCGCCGCCGCGCCGCGCGGCCTCCTTGGCCTCTTCCGCGGCGAAGCCGCGGAGCAGCGGGTCCGACTTGGCGCTGCGGACGGTCTCCTTCTCCGCGCGCGTCGTGCCCAGGACCATGATCTTCGCGTCGGCGGGGATGGCGTCGCCGGGCGCGAGGCGCTTGCCGCGGCAGAGCATCTTGATCGTCGACGGCTCCAATTCGTCTTCGACGGCCGCGAAGAGCGCCGCGACGGTGGCGTTCGGTGGCACGTCGACGGTTCTGGTCTTTCCGCGGACCGCGAGGGTGACAGGTTGTGTGCTGGGCGGCGCCACGGCGGCCGGAACCATGTCGGGCGGCGAACCAGCGGCCGGAACCATGTCAGGCGCCGACATCGGCGCCGACTCAGCCAGCGTCTTCGCGGCAAGGGGTAATAAATAGTATGGGGTGGCAGCTCAACGAGATTATGTTGCGCGAGCTCCTCGTACTGCAACCCATCGTTTTGGGGCAATGTTGACGACTTTTGGCCGGGGACTTTTCGACGCCGCCGTCGTCGACGCGGCCCCAGACGGACCGCAGCGGTATTCGCTCCCCCGCGAAGGCGCCCGCGACAAGACTTACGCGTCCGGGCGGTTCGGGTCCGGTGGAAGGAAACCGAGGCGCGCTGGAGGGCACCGTGTCCGGTTTGGCGCCACGCGAGGAAGGGGGTTTTGGGGCAGCTCTTGGACGTGTTCGCGATGATGATGGTCGTGGACCGTCTGCTGGCGCTGCAGAGCCCTTCGTTGGTACCTATGGATGGGCTCGAGCATCTCAGGACACGAAAAGTTCTCGACCTCGAATGCCCGCACGCTGCCCGAGAAACTGTGTTGCGACACCGTCGGCGCCGGGGCTGCGCAGGCTCTGAGATCGTGGGAAAAGTGTGTCCTGAAGGTTTCGAGCCCCCCGCGGGTACCCATAGGGCGCCTCCAACCTCTAAGGACAAGAAAATATCGCACACTCGACTCACACCGCCGCCCTCTCGTCCCGCCGCCGAACAACCGTCGCGCTCGCGAGCCAACGCAATGATCTCAGCAGCCCAAATTCGCTGCCCCGCCCCGTCGAAGGGTTCCGCAGCCGCGCCGCGCCGCGCGACCCGCCATCGTTGCACTCAGCCCGCGCGCTGCGGCGTGGAAGAAGAAAGAAAACGCTAGCGGCGGCCCCGAGTAGTACGAGGACCTCGCGTTTCGCCTGCCACCCCATCTAGATTTATATCCCCTTGTTCGCGGCGCTCCGGAGCGGCGCGATGCCAAAGGAGCAGTGCCGTTGTCGTTGTCGTGCAGGAGCCGTCATAATACGATTCGTCTCGCTTGCCCCGGCGGAGAGCGTCGGCAACAACCCGCGCTTCGCGCTGCCCCGGGGGCATGGCCAACGCGCCGCCGGCCCTCTTTCCCGGGTGGGAATGGCCCTGTTGGTACTGGGTGGGTATTGAGACATATTCCGAGGCGCAGCGGCTCGCCGCGGAGGTCGCCTCGCTCCGAGGGCAGCTCGCTGGGGTCACCGCCGAGCGGGACGCGGCGCTCGAGCAATCCCTCGCCACGGAGGTCGCCTCGCTCCGAGAGCAGCTCGCTCGGGTCAGCGCGGAGCGGACGCGAGCGCAGGGCGCCGAGCGCGCGGCGCTCGATGCCCTGGCGGCCGCCGCCGCGGAAGCGCCGGTCGCGGACGCCGCGGAAGCGCCCGTCGCGGACGCCGCGGGAGCGCCCGTCGCGGACGCCGCCGCGGGAGCGCCGGAGCCCGGCAAGGGCGCGCGCGCGGCCAAGGCGTTGACCCTCGGCGAGATGGTCGCCCGCGGCCTCGTCGCGCCCGGCGCCGGCGTCATCTCGCTGGCGCGGCGGCCCGACGTCGTCGCGGACCTGCTGGACGGCGGGGCCATCCGCCACGGCGCCGCGACCTACGCGAGCCCCACGGCCTTCGCGACGGCGGTCATCGGGAAAAGCGTCCGCAAGGGCCTGAAAGCGGTGACCTACAACGGCGCGAACCTCGACGAGCTTCGCGGCGCCGCCGTCCGGGGGACCGCCGCGGCGCCCGCACCGCCGGCCGAAGGCGCGCCCCCGGCCGCCGCGGCGCCGCGGCGGGCGGCGGCGGAGCGCGCGGCGACGGAGCCGACGACGCCGGAGCCGAATCGCGCGCCCGAGGCGTGCGAGCTCGTCAGGACGTGCACGATGACGCTCCGGCCTCCGCGGCGGACGGTCTCGACGGACGCGCCGCGGGAGACGCGGCCGTCCCGGGGGGACGACGACGACGACGACGACGCTCCGCTGGTGTCGTACGAGGCGTGCGAGCTCTTCTTATCCAACCCTCCCCCCCCCAGACCCAGAAAGCACCGCCGCCGCCACGACGACGATGATGAGGAGGAGGCCGCGGCGGGGGACCAGCTGACGCAGGCGCAGCTCGGCAGCATCGGCGGGCGCTGCGCCGGCCGCCTCGGCGACAACCGATTCGTCGCGGCCGTGACCAAGGACTCGCGGTCCCGGTGCCAGTTCGGCGGCTGCGCGAGCTGCGAGCTCCGGCCCGGCGACGCGCGCCTCGGCAAGATTCCGCCGTCGCTCCGCCACGGCTCGTCCAAGAAGACGACGTGGTACCATCTGGACTGCGCGTTCGAGGCGTTTCGACTGTGCGCGCGGAAGTCCAAGGTCGTGACGTCCCTCGAGGACATCGAAAACCTCGACGCGCTGCCCGCCGAGGACCGGGCCCGCCTCGCCGCGCTCGTCGACGACTACAACGCGTGGAACGAGTCGCTGCCGGTCCCGCGGCCGCACGGAAAGAAGGCGCGAATGGTGATGGGGTCCCGCGCGACTCCCGAACTCCCGAGTTTCGCGCGAGCGCCGGACATGGTCACCATCGAGGACATGGTCACCCTCGAGGACATGGGCACCTTCGAGCCCGCGCCCGAGCCCGCGACGCCCGCGCCCGCGACGCCCGCGCCGACGCCCGCGCCCACGCCCGAGCCCATGCCCGAGCCCATGCCCGAGCCCGCGACGCCCGAGCCCGCGACGCCCGAGCCGACGCCCGAGCCCACGCCCACGCCCGAGCCCGCGCCGCCCGAGCCCGCGCCGCCCGAGCCCGCGCCCGACTCCGCGCCGCCAGAGTCCGAGAGCATCCGCGCCCTCGCTCGACGACTCGTCGAGCAAGGCTCGCGGTTCCGCGAAAAGGACGGCACGAGGGAGTGCACGTTCCAGGACAAGGGCAAGCGCGGCTGGTGGAAAGTTCAGTGGGACGGCGACGACCGATGGACGTCCGCGCGGCCGTCGTCGCTCGACGCCGTGGCGACGGAGCCGCCGCAGCCGTTTTCGCCCTTCAAGCACGTCGAGGTGGGCTCGCGGCTCCGCAAGAAGGACGGCACGAAGGAGGGCACGCTCATGGGCAAGGGCACGAAAGGCTGGTGGAAGATTCTGTGGGACGGCGACGAGCAGACGGTCAACACGCGGCCGTCGACGGTCGCGCTCGCGGACGGCGCCGCGCGCGGGCCGCGCGCGCCGCCCCGGCTCGCCGCGTCCGCGCCGCGCGTGGACGACTCGCCGGGGGCCGCGATCGCGGCATCGGACGAGGAGCAGCCCGCGCTGCGCTTCGCGGCGGGAGACCGCGTCGAGGCCCGTTGGAAGGGCGGCTCGCGCTACTATTCGGGCACGGTCCTGTCCGCGGCGCCCTCGAGGACGTCCCGGCGCGGCCCGACCTACGCCGTCAAGTACGACGACGGCGACGTCGAGTCGCACGTGCCCGAGGCCCTGGTCCGCCGGGGCCCGCGCGGGACGTCCCCGGCGGAGGCGGACGAGCCGCAGCTCGCCTGCCCGGTCTGCTTGGAGGACCTCGGCGACGCGACGGCGCTCGAGTGCGGCCACCACATGCACGCCGCGTGCCTGCGGCAGTACGCCGCGTCGCGCTGGTTCGAGGTCAAGGCGACATCCGCGCGGCGGAGCCCGCGGAAGCCGACGATCTCGTGCCCCATCTGCCGCAAAGTGACCAGGGAGCGCGCCGACGACGAGGAGGCCCTCCCCGGGCTCACGAGGGAGCGAAAACGCAAGCGGCCGCGGGTTGCGTAAGACGTAATGACGACTAGGCGACGTGTCAGGGGTTTGAGTGAACTTCTGGGCCGACGGTGCACATCGACGTTGTGATCTGGTCGCAGAGCGTCGCCTCCGACTCCGCGCCGTCGCCCGCCCGCGCCCGCGCCCAGTGCGATGGAGCCACTGCCTATGTCGCTCCCTTCTGAGGCCCCCAAGCGCCGCTTGAGCGCAGAGAACAGCGGGCGCGACTATTCGTTCGAGAATCTGAAGACGGAGTGGTCGAAGAAGGCCGAGTCGTCCAAGCGCGTCCCCTTCGGCAACGTCGCGAACGTCGCCTCGGCGCGCTCGTCGACGGGGTCGTACGTGTCGAAGCGCCGGTCGTCCATGTCGCGCCAGTCCATCACGAAGCCGCCGCCCCTGGACGCGAGCCTCATGGTCGGCGCCGACGCGCTGCCGGGCCTGCGGCGGTCGCTCGGCGGGACGCTGTATCCGTCGCCGTCGCGGTCCGGGGACGAGGAGATCCGGAGCCCGAACGCCAAGCGGACGTCCTTCGTCGTCATGAGCCCCGGCGCGCCCGTGGCGAGCCCGACGGCGTCGACGCCCGAGGCCGCGAGCCCCGCGGCCGCCGCGTCGACGCCGCCGGCCGAGGCCGTCGCGGCGCTCTTCGCGTCGACGCCGCCGGCGGCGCCCGAGGCCGCCGCCGAGGCGTTGACGCCGCCGGCGGCGCCCGAGGCCGCCGCCGAGGCGACGACGCCGCCGCTTGTCGTCGAGGCGGTCGCCGCGTCGACGCCGCCGCCGCCGGCCGAAAACGCCGTCGAGACGACGCCCGAGGCCGCCGCCGAGGCCGCGCAGACGACGCCGCCCGCGGCCGAGGTCGCCGCGTTCGCGAGCCGCCCCAAGCTGCCCCGGAGCCCGTCGCCGGCGAGCGGCGACCGCCTCGCGTCGCCCGCGGCGTCGCTCGCGGCGGCGTCGCCCGCGGCCGCGCCGTCGGCGCCCGGGACGCCGCCCGCGGTGTCGCCCGCCTTCGCGAGCCGGCCGAAGCTGGCCCGCAGCCCGT